ATCTGACTGGAGGCTGGCTAGTCACTGATTTCATTAAGTCATATCAAATAAATGTCTAAGAAAATAAATGTATAGTTAGCCTTGAACGTATGTGCTAGAATCTAACTTTATGAAGTATATCACACAGATTCAAATACCCTTATCCTAGGTATATGTATATTGTAATTGTTAGAAGAGTATCGATAGAATTGCATATAGAATACTTGTGCTGCCTGTCAAACTTGTTGCATTTATGTGTTAATTTGTGATAGCACTTACTTAAAGGGCGGTCATCGGTGTTCAATACAAAACTGGTAACGACTTGCACAACACATGTAAAATACATGTTTGTGTGAAATTTGAATGTATGATGCACCCTTAAGCACACAGGGATACATCAGTAGCATTTGCATACTTGAACGCTCAATGGAAAAACACTTCGAACAGATCACAAATAAAAAAAACACTTGCATAATATTTCAAAAATATCATTTGTTTACAAATAAAACAACATTCAGTAGGATGTGAAACAATGTTTACTTATTGGACAGTGCGTCATCATTGCTCAAAACAATTGCATAATATATTCTGCCAATTGTAATGTTTTATTTCAAAATTTATTTTGGGATTATTTTGTTGCACCATATACTATCAGGTGAATACTGTAAGAGGGTTAATTATTCACTGGGTTTTAAGTTTGCTTATTTCGCTGACTGGAAAATGCTCTAAATTAAAACCCAGTGAATATGTAAAATTGATCATAGAACACATTATCTAAATGATAAAACCGTGAATTTAAAACCCACTGAATATGCCTGAAATGCTAAATCAGCGAAATTTAAACCCAGTGAAAATTAATCATTAATTCACTCGCACAATAAACATGTGCAGTTTTAAATGTTAATATCAAAAATGTGTCTAGTTCCATAATTGTTATTTGTACATCTCTTTGTAGAACGTCATACAATAATCAATGCCCTACTTTGTTGTATTGAGTCTAGAGGTGATTCAATGATTGATATATCTTTGAGACAACTCACCGTGTTCTTGTGTAGAAAATTGTTGGGTTCCGTCACATGTGATATGCAAACATTTGAGGGGGGGTTGTGGTGCACGCGAGATATTCTGTTCATGTCAGCAACTTACTGGGTCATTCAAAGATGGGCACGATCAACCTCGTAAACGTACAAACAAATGAGACTGACAAATACGATTTTCTGGATTTTGAGGAGTTACAAATCAAACATTACTCAGTCATGTGATATTTGAATGTTCATTTTAGTGATTATTGGCTACGAATGAAACAGCAGATTGTATGACGTATTCGTTTGATACCATGCAATACTAAAACTGGCAAGTTGTCTATTGTACCAGGAATAGTATTTTCCTGTATGGGTCTATTTCTTTTCTAAAGCAAACTTTAGCTACATATACCAGTGCCGAATTTAATGTACTGTAGAATACTTTATTTTCGCTTGGAATTTATTTTCGCTGAAGGGATGATTCTGTGAAAATAAAATCCAGCGAATATACTTTTTTTCCTATGTTTCACATTAAAGTCGCCAAAAATCAGTGAAAATAAATTCCATACAAAACACCCAAAAAGCTTTTCAGCGAAAATTAATTCCAGCGAAAATAAAGTATTCCACAGTATCAGCTTTTGGGGGAAAATCACGTTCATTTGGGATCTTTTTTCACTCATCTTGTAATATTATTTTGATAGAAAATAATGTCATGTATAAAATGGATGGTAAGTCCTAAATAAATCAGTCTGACTCTATGAATCAATTAGTCGTTATATTCATATTAAGTTGCACTCAGCTTTATTGGGGTCGCATCATTGTTAGGGATTCAGATTTGAAGTACAGTGAATCTGCAATTCCGAAGCCAATATCTCCAGCATTCAGACGTGCTGAAATTTTATCTTTTGTTTTATATTTCACACAATATTCCCAAGACAAGAAATTGATGTATATACATGTATGTAGACCAATAATATGACTCGTCTTTGCACCCATGATGAAAAAATTCAGCCCAGGCATATGTGAGGATTTAGTAAGGTAAAGAGAATAACAAGACATAAATAAACAAATGTAATACAAACAATAAAGACTGAAGAATATGAAAATAAAAACTTCACTATTTTTAATCAAGGGATTTATAGGTAATATCTTTAAAGTATAGTGAAAGGGCTTTTGCATTTTTCATTTCCTCATGAAAAATATCTGGTAAATTAGACTTGGGATCACAATCTTCAAAAAGTCTTTTCCTCTCACTTTTAAAGAAATGTTGTTGCATAAATGGGATCCAAAACACATTCACTGTTTTAAA